GATATTTGACAAAGGAACCAAAGACATACAATGGAAGAAACACAGCCTCTTCAACCACTTGTGCTGGGAAAAATGGGCGGCCACATGCAGAAGACTAAAATTGGGCCCCAGCCTATCACCATGCACCAACATCAACTCAAAATGTATTAAAGACCTTACCATCAAACCTGAATCTGTGAAACTACTGCAGGACAGAGTAAGAGGGAGACTTGAACTTATAGGCACAGGAAGGAACTTCCTGCACAGAGTTCCAGGGTCAAAGCAAATTGGAGAGAGACTCTTCACATGGGACTACCTTAAAATAAAAAGCTTCTAAACAGCTAAAGCTATCACAACCGTGCTAGAAAGACAACCAACTAATTGGGATAAAATATTTACCAGCAATATATCAGACAAGGGGTTAATATCCAGTATATACAGGGAACTCAAGAAACTGATCTCTCCCAAGACTAACAAACAAATTACTAGATGGGCAAGGGAACTAAAGAGAGACTTCCCAGATGAAGAGATAAAAATGACAAAGAAACCCATGAGGAAATGTTCACCATCCCTGGTTGTGAAGGAAATGCAAATAAAGACAACCCTGAGATACTACCTTACCCCAGTCAGAATGGCCCACAAGTCAGCCAACGACAAATGTTGGAGGAGATACGGAGAAAGAGGAACCCTATTACACTGCTGGTGGGAATGTACACTTATACAACCTCTTTGGCAAGCAGTCTGGAGGGTCCTCAGAAAGCTAATTATTGACCTCCTATAGGACCCAGTCATACCACTTCTAGGCATCTATCCTGAACAGCAGGAACCAGTATACAAGGACACATGCACCTCCATGTTTATTGCAGCATTGTTCACAATAGCCAGGATATGGAAACAACCCAGATGCCCCACCACAGATGAATGGATCCAAAAATTGTGGTATCTATACACAATGGAATATTATGCAGACATTAGAAAGGACAAAATAATAACGGTATTTTCATGGAAATGGATGGAGCTAGAAGAAATCATGTTGAGCGAGGTAAGCCAAGATCAAAGAGACAAATGGTACATGGTCTCCCTGATAAGTGGATGTTAAATCCAAAATGTTAGGTGATATGACAAAATTAACAGGACTTAAGAAACAAAGAGCTTCCACTCATCTGGTTGAATCACAACTAAATAACTCCATGCTGCTGATCATATGTATGGTATATATGTGTACACTGGAGGGGATCCAGGAAGACGACACAGAACTAGAGGGAATCAGGGAAAAACATACAACAACGGGACCAATTAGCTGCACAGGACATTGACCAAAATGAGCTAAGCAACTTAATGGCAGCAATGGGAGGGAGGGAACAAATGAGAAAGAGGGAACAGCTGATGCTATGCTAAACAAAAGAAATGTACATACCACCCAATGTGGAAGAAATAACTGTATCGCAAAGCTCATAGAAATCATAAATGTTATAGACCATGATAGACAATTTGCTCCAGGAAAGATAGAATGTGTTTGTGAGTTTAACTGAGCATCACGATCCCACAATAGTGTGAAATTTGGGAAATTATGTAATCACTTAATCACAATAAAAAGAAAAACAACAAAAAACAAAGGCTGAGCATCAGTTGTTCATGCCTATAATCTTAGCTACTCAGAAGCCTGAGATCTGAGGCTCATAGTTTGAAGCCAGCTGGGGCAGGAAAATTCAGGAAACTTATTTCTGATTAACCACCAGAAAGCATAAGTGGAGGTGTAACTCCAGTGTTAGAATTATAGTCTTGAGTGAAGAAGCAAAGGGAGAATGCCCTGGTCCTTGGTTCAAGCCCCATTTTAAAAAGTAAGAAAATAAAAGCATGCTAAACTTCTCAGGCATTTGGAAATATCATTCATTCTGTAATGATGAGGTGGGGGCTGGATGACTTATGTAGAACTTGCCTAGGCCAAGGACAAAAATAGACTTGGTAATTATAAAAGGCTATTCATAACCTAGTTGTTAGGATTCTTAAAAAGAATTGAATCTGAAAACTCTTGTAACTAAATAAAAAAGAATATTTCTAGTTTAAAAAAGCCTAGGGGGAGACAGGCTTCCTGTAGCCTAAGAGGGTAAATTTTCTGGAACTACTGCCAGACACTTTTCCTTCTGTTTGTTCTAAATGTGTGTTTTCTGAACATAATATACATATGATCATGAAGCCTGAAAAAAAATTAACATGGCAAAAACTGCAATACTGACCCCCCAAAATTGAAAATGCAATACTCATATCCCAACAATATTCTTCAATTCTGTAGAGAAAACAGTTCAACTTTAGTATGGAACTACTAAATTACAGATGAAACAGAAGTCTTAGAAATGAACTCATGGACCTATATTCATCTTACACACACACACACACACACACACACACACACACACACACACACATAATGGAATTCTATTCATCAATCAGAAAGGATGACTTTTCACTAGTCTTAAGGAAAATGAAAGGTTGGGGAAAATGATACTAAGAGAAAAGAGAAAGGAATGCAGACTCTGAGCAATATATGTTTCATGGATTCATTCATAGTAGCTAGAAGGTGCCCACAAATCTACAAGTAAACAAGACAGATTATTCCTCATCCCAGTTAGAATGGCCTTTATCAAGAAGCTATCAATAGTAAATGCTGGCATGGATGTAGCCAATTGGGAACTCTATTACACTGTTGGTGTAGAATGCTGTGGAATGCAGTACTGAGTTTCCTGAAAAGACTAAACATAGATCTCCTTTAAGACCCAGTAATTCCCCTCATGGGCAGTAATCCAACAAGCTCACATAAAAGCTACCAGCATAACCGTGTTCAGGGCCTAGGCCCAGAGTTTAAGGACTGGAAAAAATGTTACCACAGTTGTTTTTTCCCCCCAAATATGAACCATTTGCCATAAGATACCAAAACATGCCGGGTGCTGGTGACTCAGGCCAGTAATCATAGCTACTCAGGGGACTAAGATCTGAGAATCACTGTTCAAAGCCAGCGTTTTCAGGCATGTCTGTGAGCCTCTAATCTCCAATAAACTGCTAGAAAACCGGACGTGGCACTGTGGCTCAAGCGGGAGAATACTCGCCTTGTCTTGTAGATGACAAGGACAGAGCCCAAGCCCAGAGTTCAAGTCGCAGGATGGACAAAAAAAGAAACAAACTACAAAAAAAAACGATACCAAATCATTCTATTAGCAGTAGCTAGGATAGGACTTAAATTTAGTGGGTGATAAAATGGCTTCTTTGTTGAATGATAGGAAAAGATGTAGGCAGTCCAAGAAAAGGGAGATTTTTTGTTGTTGTTGGTCGATGGGTTTGAAGTCTGGGCTTGGGCACAGTCCCTGAGCTCTTCAACTCAAGCTGAGTGCTCTACCTCTTGAGCCACAGTGACACTTCTGGTTTTCTGGTGGTTAAATGGACATAAGAGTCTCACAGACTTTCCTGCCCAGGCTGGCTTTGAATAGCAGTCCTCAGATCTCAGCTTCCTGAGTAGCTAGGATTACAGATGTGAGCCACTGGCACCAGGCTAAAAATGGGGAATTTTTAGAAAAGAAAATCCACCTCTTCACCTGTGTCAAAACCTCAGATATCACTATTAGAACATTTCATCCTCAAGTCATTTCTTCAGATATCTGTTAATTTTCTCTTTTCCTTCATGTGGGAATCCTGCGGTCAATATCATTTCAGCTGTGGTACTGGATCAATTGTATGGTAATTGCTAGCATCTAAATCAAGAACTGTTACAGGAAAAGAAATGAAACCTTCATTTGGAATAATTGTTTTCTCTTTTTATTACAAATTAGTGATTGATTATTTCCTAGTGTGATATTGGACGTCCTAACAGAGTGATGGCATTTTATTTCTCTTCAGCCTTCTCCCACATGTGGTCAAGTATTTAAGAATACAAATATTTCCATTGATAATTCAATAGCTGATCTCTAAGAAAATGTGCATCTCTGGACTTTGCTCTCTTGTCCTTACATGTGCAGGCTTTCAATGATTTATATGTTGTACAAGGAATTCTATTTTCCAATCTTTGTGTGACCAATTTTAGTCTCTCTGATCAGTCTTTCTGACTCTTTCTCTGGAGTCTCATTTCAGTCTGCCTCATAATATTAGTTAGTAGCTAAATAATGTACAGAGGAGTCACATTTGCGTGAGCAAGGTAATGAGTACATTTCCTAAAAAACATTGTTACCTCCTCCTTTATTTTTCCCCTACCATCCTTTCCCTCCCACCTCCACAAGTACACAACCCTCCTCTCTTCCCCCACCTAAATTGTAAAGTTCATTTTTCAACATAGTGTCTTGTGTATCTCATTGTTACAATGTGTCAACCTGTACCCCTATTTAAGCATTTTGTTTTTTTTCTTTCCCCTCCACGAATTAGAGGAGTGTATATACAAGATGTAGGTGTACCAACTTCAAATACAGTGAAAACAGGAGTTATAGCAGGAGGGAGGAACATATAAAGAAACAAAAAAATCACATCGCACATTATATGTACGTTAGAAACAATAGCAAGAAAGAAAAAAAAACCACTTGTGTCCCTATCTTGGGGTTCATGTCCCTTAACATCATCCTATCTGGTCATATGCAGAGAGCTTTTGACCTATTCTTCTTAACCCAGACAAATATTAGTTATTGAAAATTAGGGAAACCATGGGACCAATGTTAATTTGGACGTGGCTTACTTCACGTAATATAATTTTTACCAAGACTTTCCAGTTACTAACAAATGGGGCAACGTTATTCTTTCTGATGGAGGCATAGAATTCCATTGTGTATATATACCACAGTTGTGTTGGTAGCTTTAGTATGGTCTTGTTTGTGATCATTTGGGTAAATGTCCCAAAGTGGGATTGCTGGGTCATAGGGGAGCTCTATGTGGAGTTTTTTGAGGAACCTCCATACTATTTTCCAAAGTGGTTGAACAAGTTTTATACTCCCACCAAGAATGCAGTATGGTTCCCTGGTGGCCACATCCCCTCCAGCATCTGTTGTAAAAGTATGAAATGCTTCAGGAATTTGCCTGTCATCCTTGTGCATGAGCCATGCTAATCTTCTCTGAAATGTTCCAATGTTTCTGCTACGCATTTCATTTTGTGCTCCTGCACTTGGCGAGTGATTTTAGGTCCGTCTACACCAGTAGAATCAGCATAAATCAAGCCAGCATTTCTTCATTTAAAATACAAGGAAAGGATACAGGTTGCCACATTGTAACAATGAAATGTACAAGACACTCTATCGGGGGGGGGGGGGGGGCGTGGAGTGACATGTTGGGGAGGTATGAAGGGGCGGAATGGTAGGGGAAAGACAAAGGAGGGGGTAACAATGCTCAATAAGAAATGGACTCATTACCTTACTTATGTAACTGTAACCCATCTGCACAGGAACTTTAAAATAAAAATATAAATTGAAAAGATACAAGGAAAACTTCTGTACTTATAGGAAGTTGTATTTGTCACTCAATATCAGCAAGGTATTGGTTTTAGGACCACAAGCATATTAAAATTTTGGATGCTCAAATTCTCTACGTAAACACAGTATATTATTTCTAATAGAATCTGCCCACAACCTAGTGCACGGTAATTGCTACGAAAATTTTTACTACATTCTATGTTTATAGTGAAAAATAAAATTATATGCACTATCGACTGATACCATTTTTTTCAGATAATTTATTTATTGTGAAAATATCGTACAGAGGGGATAATGGGCAAGGTAATGAATATATATACATATATATATATGTATATTCATATATATACATATATACATACATATATATACATATACAAATATATAATGTTTTAAAATCAAAATATTTTATATCCTTTTTAAAAATTTTTTATCATGAAAATACCATACAGAGTTGTTACAATTACAGAGGAAAGGTAATGAGTATATATTTTATCAAGCATTATTACTTCCTCCTTGGTTTCCCCTTCCCTTCATATCTTCCACCACACCCCACCCGCTCCCTGAACTGCCCGAAGTTGTAAAGTTCGAATTTCAGCATAACGACTTGTACATCTCATTGCTGCAATGGGTCCACCTGTATCCCTATTTAAAAGGTTTGCTTTTGCCCTTCCCATCCACAAACTATATCAATATCAAATACAATGAAAGCCGGGGTTATACCGTGGGGAGGGACATAGAACACAAAAAAGCAATCATCTTATGAATATGTTTGAAACAAATGCAAGAAGGAAAAAAAATATATGAATATTTATATTGGGGTTCATTTCACGTAAAATCAACTTATCTGACCTTTTCTGCTTGTGTCAGACATACACTAGTTATTGTAAATAAGGGAAACCATGGGACCTATGTTTCTTTGAGCCTGGCTTTCTTCACTTAATATACTTTTATCCAAGTATTTCCAGTTCTTAACAAATGGGTCAATGTCATCCTTTCTGATGGAGGCATAGAATTCCATTGTGTATATATACCACATTTTCTTGATCCATTCATCTGCGGAGGGGCATCTGGATTGGTTCCATATCATAGCTCTCTTAAAGAATGCTGCAATAAACAGTTGTGTTGGTAGCTTTAGTATGGTCTTGTTTGTTACCATTTGGGTAAATGCCAAAAATTGGGATTGCTGGATCATAGGGGAGCTCTATGTGAAGTCTTTTGAGGAACCTCCATACTTCAACAGATACAATCTATTCAACATTAAACAACTATGTACTAATGGGCTAAGAACAGAAAAGAAGAATTTGGCAAATGAGAAGTTATTAGGTTTAGGGAGAAATGTGGGGAAAAGTAGGATTAGAGGGATGTGGTAGGTAAAAAGAGAGTGTATTTGGCCAAGTCCTAATTTCAGAGAGGGAAATAACTTGGGAAGAATTATTGGAGAGACTTAAAAAAACAAGAGAAAATGGAAAAACAAAACTTTACATATAAAAAGTGAAACACAAAAATTATGAAAGGGTAAAGAAGTGATATTGAGAGAAGAAAAGCTAAAAAATAAAAGTTCTTAAAATTATATAGGTAGGAGGAGATAATACTACTATTAAAGAATTTAAGCCTTAGAGGTTTTGAATTGAGTAATAAATTTCTGGGTTAAATATGTACACAAGGGAGATAAGGTCTAATAATCGATGACAGGTATGTATCTGAGGATGAGCAAAACAGCAATTAAGTCACCCAAAAAGAAGAAAGGGAAGAAAAAAATGAAAAAGAAAAAAAAAGAAGAGAAAAAGAAAAAAGAAAAAAAGGACCAAAAACTCAGTAGAGATTAAAACACACACAGACACACACACACACACACACACACACACACCTAAAATAAAAATTATGCGAGGACAAAAAAGATTAATAGAAAACAATTTTTAAAATATAATTTAAAAATTTTTTAAAAATTAAAAAAAGGTATAAAAAAGAGTTCTTTGATTGGGAAAGGGGGTGCGTGCATGGGAAGATCTTTTATCTCCCTTGTGTCCTAACCAATCTCTTGGTGGAGTCTCAGGTCTGCTTGTGGTTACTGTCTGGTCTGTCTTGATTGGTTACTTAAGTCAGTTTGTTTGAGCAGGCAGAAAAATGCTCTGCTTTACCCAGGATTTTGTGATCCTCCTCCTCGCTAGTTCAGTGGGAGGGAGATCTGCTTTGATTATCACAAAAGAAGGAGATGGCAAAGAAGGAGATGGCTGTTTCCTCTAGTTTGGAGATGGTGTGATGAGGCTAGGTTCTGGGTAGAGTTGAGGCCTTTCACCAAACAGTAGCTTTTCCCTGAGGGGATAGCTTCTGATATACTCACAAAGCCCAGCCTAGAGCCATTCTCAGGGTTTATGTATACTGAATTTCAATTGTTTTTCTAGGCTGCTGTAGGGAGGGGCAGCCTCTGGCTCTGTTTACCCAGAAGAAAGCCACACCTGTGGGGGCCACGGATCCTCTGCTTGTGCTTGGTGACTTTCCCTTGGGTGGAGCTAAGCCTGGAATGTCAGGTCAGCTTCCTGTGACCTGCTAAATGACTCCAGTTTTCATCCAAGGCCTGAGTTGTTGCTAGCTCCTCAGCCGGGCCTTTTTCAGTATCAAAAATGGAGATCTCTGGTGCTGGGGGTGGGGAGAGGTGGACTTCCCCCCTCTGCTTCCTGAGAAGGAGTGAGGATGTCAGGGTTCTACTCACGCTGGATTGTTGGTTCCCTGGTCATCTTTAGTCTGTGATCTGCAGGATGAAGATATTTGCTCCTTGCCAGTTCTTGCTGGTGTTGAATAGAATCCACTAGCCCCTGGGTCTGGCTCCTTTGTCCCGGATTCTCTGTGTTTAGGTAGGGTGGATATGGCCGTCACCACCAACGCCTTGCCACAGCTGCAAGCAAGTGCTCAGGTCTGCCTGGATTTTTCCTCTCTGGCCAAACTCTCTGTACAGTGATCGCACACTTGGTGTGATTCTCTAGGCTAGGACTGTTCACTGGAACACTAAACTGCTATCTATGCGAAAAACTGATAGCTTCCAGCTTCATTTCCGCAGTCTTCATTCAACATTCATGAGTATATTTCTTATCAAGCATTGTTGCCTGCTCCTTTGTTTCCCCTTTGAATCCCTTCAAATCACCCCCCCTTCCTAATCCACCTCCCAGCCAAATTGTAAAGTTGATTTTTTGACGTAACATCTTGTACATCTTATTATTGCAATGGGTCCAGCTGTATCCCTATATAAACAGTTTGTTTTTGCCCTACCCCTCCACAAATTATATCAACCTCAAATACAATGATAGCAGGGGTTATACCGTGGGGGAGGGACATACAAAGCAACAAAGAAATCATATCATAAGTATGTTAGAAACAATTGCAAGAAAGAAAAACCATTTGAATCCTTATCTTGGAGTTCATTTCGCCTACCATCAACTTATCTGACCTTTTCTGCTTGTGTCAGGCATACTAGTTTATGCAAATAAAGGAAACCATGGTACCTATGTTTGTTTGGGCACGGCTTACTTCACTTACTATAATTTTTCCAAGTCTTTCCATTTCTTAACAAATGGGGCAATGCCATTCTTTCTGATGGAGGCATAGAATTCCATTGTGTATATATACCACATTTTATTGATCCATTCATTTACGGTGGGACATGTGGGTTGGTTCCAAATCTTAGCTATGGTAAACAATGCTGCAATAAACATAGCTTTGCTGGTACCATTAGTGTGCTCTTGTTTGTGATCATTTGGGTAAATGCCCAAAAGTGGGATTGGTGGGTCATAGGGGAGCACTATGTGGAGTCTTTTGAGGACCCTCCATACTACTATCCAAAGTGGCTGAACACGTTTACACTCCCACCAACAATGCAGTAGGGTTCCCTTCTGTGCACATCCCCTCTAGCATCTGTTGTTATTAGAGTTCTTCGTTACAGCCATTCTAATTGGAGTGAGGTGGTATCACAATGTTGTTTGGCATTTCTCTTATGGTTAGGGAAGTTGAGCATTTCTTCATGTGTCTATTGGCCATACTTTTTTCTTCTTCAGCGAAGTTCCTCTGTAAGTCTATAGCCCACTTATTTATTGGGCAGTTGTTTCTTTGAGGATTTGTTGTTGGGGCATTTAATTTTGTGAGTTCCAGTTATATTGTAGATATGAGACCCTTGTCGGTTATATGTTTAGTGAAGATCTTCTCCCAATCAGTGGGCTTTCTGGTGATCTTGCTAGCTATGTCCTTTGCCATGCAGAAGCTCTGCAATTCCATGCAATCCCATTTGTCCAACCTTTGTTTAATTTGTTGTGTTTATGGGTCTCTTTTAAGAAAATTTTGGCCTGTGACAAGGAGACCTAGGGTTTCACTTATTTCATCCTTTGAAGTTTTTAGTGTGTCAGATTTGACTCCGAGGTCTTTGATTGTGGAGCACATGGGCAGCAAAGATGGCGCTGAGGGAGAGTTGTGTGGGCAGAGCCCAATTTGCTTTACGTTCCGTGACTAACCATCCCGTGGAAGCAAGAGGGACTGTTCACAAAAATCCCCTGCCAACTGGCCCTAGGGGTCCTCCCCCTATACCCTGACCCAGGGGCAGAAAGGGATACCATTGGAAAAAGAATTGTGGATCCAAGTTTGATTTAGATAGGAAGCCCTACCTGGGTGGAGTGGTGGCCATTGATAAAACCTAAACTTG